TATGTATCTATATATATATATATATATATATATATATATATATATATATATATATATATATATATATATATATATATGAAAGAAAGTTTGATTTGGAGGAGAAGAGAAAAGGTACACAAGGGTGGTGGCCGTCCCCGATAACAGGCCAAAATAAAAATCCAAAACAACCAAAGGAATACAAAGCAGTAGTATCTAAGAAAATAAAGTTAAAAAAAGAAGTTGGCTAGAAAAAAAATTAAAAGAGGCGCTGGTTATTAAGAGCGTCATACTAAAGCAAACAAGCAAAGGCAGCATCCTCAGGAACTGCATCCTTTCAGTACACCCATCCAACTGCATCCATTATTTCAGCATCTTCGTACACCCATCTGAAGTTCAAATCCCATAAGAAAAGAGTTTAAAAGAAAAAATGTCCTGGAACAGGAGCCATGCCCATTCTCTTCCAAGAGCAGTAGTATGAAAGTGGAGAATCATCAGTCCCTCCCAACCCTACTTTTATCTAATTGATCACCAGTTTTGATGCTTCCCAAGAAGAGATTCACCCAATAGATTGCCCAAGAAAATTGCCAGAAAACAAAGAGAAGACATAATGTAAAGCACCTAGCAAAACCCCCTAAATTCTGAATATGAAAGAAGAAATACCCAACTCTTCCAAGAAGCGTCTTATTGAATATAAATAGCAGATCATACTAAACTTTGGAGACCACCCAAACAATCAAAAACAGCATCCATTTCCTTGTTAGCATAGGCAAGAAAGACTGGATTTTGTCCCTTCCACCTGTGTTATATCAATAACTTCAAAACTTTTGGCAGACTCCCTAGTCATCCTAATGGCTTGATCCAGTTTGAGGATTATTCATTCCTGCACTCCGCATAGGTGATTGAGAATGGCATCCATAGCCTCATTAGCATAAGCAAGGTAGACCGGGTACTTTGCTCCTTGAACTAATGTTGCATCTATGTATTCAAAGCACTTTGTCATATCTCTAGTAACCCGAAGTACTTCACTTGAGTAGGTGAGTATCTGTCCCTTGTTTAGAGCTTGTAAGAATTTTATCGTAGCCATGGATTTCTGGAAGAGGCTGAGGTTGTCCTTAATGACTTGATGAAACTGCTTGATACTCCCAGTCTAATACTGCATCTGTGGAGTGTCTTGTAGTACTTTCCAACTCTAATTTCAGTGTTGAATCAGTGGAGACCCTATTCACAGATTCCTTGTGTTCTTCCTCTTCTCTGCCACAAACCCTCTCACTTTGGGAGCATCTGCATCCTTCATCACTGTCTATTCTAGCATTCCCATATATTTCAGTTGTTCCATTTAGAAGTGGCTGTTGGTTACTCACCAAATTCCTATCTTCTAGTGCCCTAAGAAGCTGAGATAAACCCTTGCAAAAAATGCTTAGTCCAGTGAAGTTGTAACTGGCAGGTATGAAAATGTGAGCGCTGCCTTTATTTGAATAAAGTTTGGCAAATTCCCAAGCCTATTTGATTCCCAAAACACCTTGAGGGAGGAATCACCATCATAACATGTTATTTCCCAAGATTATTTAGAGTAATCAGGCCTACTAAGGATTTAAATCAACCGTCTGGCTAAGATATTTGAAATTGATAGAATGCGTGTTTTACCTGATTTTGACTCGAAAGTTGTGATGTTCAGCCCATCATCTGAGACTAAAAAATCTTTTCTTTCAATTGAGAAAGAAATCTCACCAGATTCATTGGTGAAAGGTCCTCAGCTCTTCTCATCCTTCAATGTGGATTCGCAGCGTGAAACATGGGCCGGAAAAATTCAGAGTACGAACGACGCCAAGGTCGTCCATTCCCATAGCGTAGAGATTCCCGTATATACTTAGAATTTGACAGGCGATGAGGTCCCCTTCCCCTTCGGTTTTCATTGGAAATGTGTCACCTCCAATGGCCGTTTCTTTCCCTTCTCTATAGTACCCCTAACATTCTCTTCAATATATATATATATATATATATATATATATATATATATATATATATATATATATATATATGTATGTATGTATGTATATATATATATATATATATATATATTGTAACGCCCCAAAAATAGGCCTATCAGAATTAATTAATTACTGAGAAGGACCCAAAAATATGTGAATTATAAAGTTTGTCAATAAATAATAAAAATTATATCGTTATGTAGAGTTTGACTGTCTGACCGCAACGGTTCAATCGGATTTTAATTCGGAGAAAGTTAGACGAAAAAGTGTACCCCGACTGGGACCAAAATTAGTCCCAATCAGGGACTTGCGTTTAAAACCCGTAGAAGATCGCCGTTTGCTCTACTTAGCCGCTGGAACAGGGAACAAGGACATCACCCATGGCTTCTTCTACTAACCCTCTACTATAAAACCCCCAATTTGTCCACCATTCTTCATCATTCTTATCCCAATAGAAAGAGCTGAGTGTGAGGAGCGTTTTAGTACTACCAATTTGGTGTCAAGTTGCCGGAGCAAGCTGTGGTGTTCGCCGGAAGTTTCGCCGTCTTTTCACCGGAATCATCGTTTAGCATTAAGTTAAGCCCGTAGATATATCTAAAGACTAGAATGTTCATGTAGGTTGTTTTTACGTTCATAAATGGTTGTTTGGTTGAGTTTTGCGTTTGACATGTTTAAGAACCAAGAACCATAACCCTTGAATTTGATGTTAAAAATATGTTTTAATGATTCCAAAATGATCTATGAACCTTGGAGAACATTTCTATATAATTTAATTTAAGTTTGGTGATTAAAAATGATAATACTCGAAACTGACCAGAGGACGAAGATAATGAACAGTAGCTGAAATTCGATTATTTACTCCTAAGAATCGATTAGAACTTTGTTCAGATGAGGTGCTCGAAGTCAGAAAAACATAATCGATTATTTTATTAAAATAAATCGATTTTTATTATATAATCGATTATTTATAATTTATAAATCGATTTTAATTAAATAATCGATTATTTATAAATTATAAATCGATTTTTAATTATTAATCGATTATTATTCATTAAATAATCGATTTTTCCACATTTTATATATATATAAATAGATTATTTTATATTAAATCAACTTCAATTCGAGTTACTGCTTCGAAAAATATTTCTC